CGCCACCTTAGGTGTATGTGGCTGGCGCCTTAGCCGCTTGAGCCACAGGCGCTGAACCAGGCAAGAGAGTATAAATGTAAAGAACATTCCATACTGTCAACAGGCCATATTGTTCCCCCCACCTTTTTTTTTGAGACAGAATCTCACTATGTTGCCATCGTTAGAGTGCTGTAGTATCACAGCCCACAGCAACCTCAAACTCTTGGGCTTAAGCGATTCTCTTCCTTGCCTCAGCCTCCCAAATAGCTGGGCCTACAGGTGCCCACCACAATGCCTGGCTATTTTTTTGTTGCAGATGTGGTTGTAGGTTGGGTTCCAACCTGCCATCCTCCATGTATATGGCTGGAGCCATAACCACTGTGCTACTGGCACCTTTTATATTCTTTTTTTTTTTTTTTTTTCTAGACAAGGTCTGTTGCCTGGGCTAGAATGCAATGACATTGTCATAGCTCATGGGAACCTCAGACTCCTAGGCTCAAGTGATTCTCCTGCCTCAGTCTCCTGAGTAACTGGGACAACAGGCATGCACCACCACGTCCAGTTAATTTTTTAATATTTTGTAGAGATGAGGTCTTGCTATGTTGCTCAGGCTGGTCTCAAACTCCTGGCCTCAAGTGATCTTCCTATCTTAGCCTCTCAAAATGCTAGGATTGCAGGGTCGAGACACTGTGCTCAGCCTATGCTCTTCTTTAAAGTTTCATTTTCTAGATCTTAGTTCTATGTATAGAATTATAATCTAATGAAACCCACTCATTTTATTTTATGGTAACTTAAACTAGTCCTTGCACTGGTAGCCTTAAATCCTGGTAAGAAAAAAATATAAATGTATGTTTTAATAATATAAGTTAGATCACTGCCAAACCCAAAATTACGTAGTATAATTTTCCTTACAGTATTTTTAAAATGCACATTAAGAGTAAGAAATAAAAGGAAAAAATAGTAAACAAAAATGGTTTGACAGACTTTTCCAGATTTGTGGTTCTTTAATAAAGTCTTTTGTTTCTTGATCTAAGCTAGTAGTTCCCAAAAGGTGGTTTCTGGATCACATCTGTACATGCTAAAAATGCCACTTTTCAAGTCTCACCCAAGACATACCAGATTAGAAACTTGAAGGTGGAGCCCACAAGTCTGTGTTTTAATACACCCTCTGGGTGGTTCTGATATACACTCAAATTAGAGAATTAATGACCTAAGCAAACATCCAGCACCACAGAAAGTACCACTGGTATTTCCAAGCCTTCAGGATGGCATCCAGTTCCTACAGCAATTCTTGTCATATTACTCACAAAGCATTAAAGTAATTATTTGTGTATCCTGCACCCAAACTAGATCATAAGTCCCTAGAGAGAAGGAACTGTTTCTTTTTTGTATTAGGGTCACAGTCAGCCCCTTGTATCCATGGGTTCGAATTCCATAGACTCCAACAACCATGAATTAAAAACTATTTGGGGTAAAAATTAGATAGCTGTGTCTATACTGAATATGTACAGACTTTTTCTTATTATTATTCCCTGAACAATACAGTATAGTAACTATTTACATGGCATTTACATTGTATAAGTATTATAAGTAATCTAGAGATGATTTAAAGTGTACAATAGGATTTATGCAGGTTATAAGCTAATTCTATGCCATTTTATGTAGGAGACTTAAGCATCCATGGATTTTGGTATCTGAAGGGAGTCTTGAAACAAATTTCCCCTGGATATTAAGGGACGACTGTATTTATCAGAATACCCTCTGGACTGTAATAATGACTGCTATGTTTAATGCCAATCATTCTCATGCTCCTATGTTTCCGTAAAACTTTTTGGAAAATCAAATATATACTTATTTCAAGAAGCTAATTTATCCCCATGTTCTCTCTCATTTTATTTAATATGGCAATTGAATTACAAATAGGCTTATAGTAACATGTGATTTCTATATAGTGACACATACATTCAGATTGGTAGAATTTAAGTAGAGAGACAACATTAAGAAGTTATTGAAATATAAACTCTTACTGATGAAAAGTTAAACTAATCTGGTAAAAACTGAAATCTAGCAGGAACATCTTTCAAAACAGAAATTCCTTTCCATCTTGCTGTTTTAAAGTGTATTTACCTGAGGTGTGATTGTGTGGTCAATCAGATTCTCCGTTAGAGATGCAAGCAAGGCATCTAATTCATCTGTAGCTTCCTATGGAAGACAAGGAATCTAGAATTGTTAAATGACTCAATTATTAGACTAAGTTTTTTTCTCTATCTTTTATTTACAGTTCTGACCCAGGCCTGGTTAGTGTTAATCCTTTAAACAAGCAGAACATTTGTGAGTCATGGTTATTAATGTTTGTTTCCACTTCTGCTCAGAGGAGCACCTAGGCTACAGCTGGGCTTTGAGCTACAGTGCTATGTAAATTTTCAAATAGCCCTTCCTTTTAGTAAGACAAAACTTGGGTGGGGTTAAGACTGTTCTGCCTCTTTGCTTTTAGATTAGATGAGAATAGTAAGAGGTTCAACAAAGGAGGCAGTGACTAAAGGAGGCATCTAAATTCCATATGCTTCTTTATCTAGATAAATGGTGCTTCACTATTTGCAAAAGAATACAATATGCACTCTTCCCCCATAAATGTTAATTAATACTTTTTGTTTAATTAGTATTAAAAGTACCTTATGGGGGACACAATTTTGTACTGCAGTGGGGGCAACAGGGGAAAGAATTTAAACAACAGAAGATAAAATTCCCATCTGACAATAAAAGAAGTAAGAATATTGGACATAGTTTGTAACAAATAAGGCCCCTGATTTATACATCTTTATTTCTATTTGCTTTCAGGCCTTGGTGAATCTCTTATTTAATTTCATCATGTGATTTAATTTTAATTACAAACATGAAAAAATTGATCTTTCTCCTGTAACATCTCCTCCTTCCACCCCCACACCTTCCCTGGGCTGTGTCCCACAATAGCTTGTGCAAAGTTCTCTCTCCCACTGGACTATATACAGTGGGCTAAGACCATATTTCATTCACTTTTAAATCTCTAATGCCTAGTATGCTGTCTGGCATATTTTACATACACAATATATCTTTGAACTAAATGTCCTTCTCTGTTCTAAAAATATCTCAGGTTCCACTTAATGATTTTCAATGACCAAAGATGTCAATGTATATTTTTAGAATTTTATTATATTTGTTTTATTTTTACATATACATGTGTTTATTAGGTTTCCACTTTTTGCCCTCACAAAATTAAAAAGGCTTAAAATTTAACAACAATAATAATGTTTAAGATAAGGACTAGAAACAAAAACCTCGTAAAGAATGAATGAAGATAAATACATTCAGAAAGGAAATCAGATGACTGCTGCAATGAAGGATTAAGCAATAATACTAATAGTAATGCAAAGAAACATTCACATTCACATTGTCAAATGAGAATATGGCTATTATAGGATGCTTTGACCCTGAGGTTCAGTATGGAGTCATCAATTAAGTTCTTCTTATTTTTTTTCCAAAGTCTCAAAAAGTAGACAACTAATATTGATAAATAAAGATAAAAGATAATTTCAAAAAACAGATTATGCCAAATCTTATAGACAACAGAAAAAGAAGAAATACTTCAAAATCATTCTGCTTAATCTGGATACACCTGCTATTAAAATTGGAAAAAATATATTATAAAGGGGAAATTACAAACATAATTCACATTTAAATGAGGATACATCCTGTATCCTAAACAACATATTAACAAGTTGAAGTAAAAATTAGTGTTTAAGGAATGTACTTTAGTCAAAATCGAATCCAATTTATGTGAGAATTAGTCACTTTTTTTTCTTATCCTTATTCTCACCCCCACCCTCCTTCTCTTGTCTGCTCTTTTTAGAATTTTAATTTGTGGAAAATAAACTTCTTACTGAAACTATTTGGGCTGGTCATTTTTTCCTTTAGAAGCTTAAAAGATTTGTCATTCAATCCTACAATTCCTTTATTAGGTATATACCCAGAAGATAAAAAATCACATTACAATAAAGATATTCAATTTTTTCTGATAATATTTGAGATTATCAGAATGTTTATTGCAGCCCAATTCATAATTGCCAGGTCATGGAAGAAGCCCAAGTGCCCATCGATCCACGAATGGATCAATAAACTGTGGTATATGTACATCATGGAATACTATGCAGCCCTGAAGAAAGATGGAGACTTTACCTCCTTCATGTTTACATGGATAGAACTGGAAAATGTTCTTCTTAGCAAAGTATCACAAGAATGGAAGAAAAAGTATCCAATGTACACAGCCCTATTATGAAACTAATTTATAGTTCTCAAATGAAAGCTACAACCTAATTCTAGCCCAAGAATATAGGGGGAGAAGGGGAGAAGGGCAGATGGGTGGTGCCTGGAAGGATCACCTATATGGTCTGTCTAACAAGGGTACAAGTGAACTTTTCTAGAACTAGAGTATAAATGTTTTAACACAATAACTAAGTAAATGACACAAAGTCTATGTTAACCAGTTTGATGAAAATATTTCAAATTGTATATGAAAACACTACACTGTACCCCATGTTTGCATTAATGTATATAGCTATCATTTAATAAAAAAAAAGAAGCTTAAAAGACTAAAAGATTATATACCTAAATATCAACTATACACTGTCATTGGGTAGTAAGACTATAAGTGATTTTTCCTTTTTGTGAAAAATTAGGTAGATTTTTACAATAAACGTACATTATGCAATAAAAGAACAAAATGGTTTATGTGTTGATTTGAAAAGACAATTGTTAACTTAATGTGTAAATTAAAATGTTCATGGGCAATGCATTAGATTTTTATGGTTTCTGAATTGGTAAGGATTTGGCAAATGGATACAGGAAAGGGAGAAGTTAGGATGAGCTGGTTATATTGCAACACAATGATTGGTCCTTGTTATTTCAAAAAGTTTATTTCAGGCAACAAAAAACTTGACATATTTGTTTATGTCTGTTATGTGCCAGGTGGTGTTTGAGATCCTAGGGACACAGCAATGAACAAAATAGGCCAAATCTCTTGTGCAGCTTATATTCTCTACAGTAAATCAGATGACAAATTTCAACCAAATCACTCATGCATTAGACATATAGCCTTAAGTCTTTAATCTTATAAGCACCTAAAAAGCACCTATTTGCATTTAACATTACATCTTTTTAAAAGGAAAAATCAGCATCCAAGACCACTCCCAAAACAAAAATATAAACAAATAACATACAAACTGGAGAAGAAACCCTGAGATTCTCTTGCGAGGGATGTGGCAATAGGATTCCCTCCTACAGAATTCTGGTTCAATGCTTTTCTCATAGCTTAAGTCACAGTGTCAATCAGAAATTACCAGGTGTCCCTGGCTTTACTACAGGATTCAATTCAAGACTGTCTTTGGCAAAAATTTTAAGAAGTATTCTTACCTTTAGAACAGAACCACTGTCTGCAGATGTGGTATGCATTAGAGCAAGAGACTCTCTGGAGAGCGGCACATTATTCTCACTTAACGCAGCACTGGGAAGACAGAAAGACAAATTCATATCATGGAGGACCTCTGTAGGTATAGGCAGTATTCTCAAAGAAAGAGATTAGAAAAGAAGCATAAAAAAATTCATGCAGGGAAGAAGAAATTGCAGCTGGTGAGGAGCATGACAGTAGCCAGCTCTGCATTTATATGCCTCTGTGAACCCCTTTTCCACCTACAGAGAAGAGCTTTCAAATCCACGTCAGACTCATTTCCAGAAGTATCAAAATGGCAGACTTCCTTGCTTCCCTCTTAAAATCTCACTAAAATGACAGAAAAGATTTATCTTCAATAAAACAAAAAATCGTAATACCTAAAAACCATTACAGAGTGCCAGTGGTAGTTCAAAAACTTTAAGTAAATCCTGAAAGATACATAGAATAGGATGGTTTCAAGATTATGACAGATTAAATGTTGCAGTCTTCTTCAACAGCATCAAATCTGGAGGAATTATATAACAGTGGAAAAATAGAGAAAACAGATCAATAGATTTCTATATTTGTAAAGTTGTTATGCAATACATCAACAGGAAACCTCAGTGGACCAGAAATTATACAAAGTACCTGAGATATGTGAAAATAGTCAGGAAACCACCAGGAGAAGCCAGGCTAGAGAACTCTGCTGCAGAAGGCAGAAGCAGTATCTACAGTGTCCCAGATATTGCAACAGGACTAGCCAGGTGAGAAGATGCCACAGCAGCTGTTACCTGTAAGCCTGGCTGTAGTGACAGAGATGTTTGGCTCCAGCTAGGAATAATGAGAACAGGAGCAGTCCTACAGAGGGCATCAACAGAACATCAGGAGGAAAATCCACACCCAAAAGACCATCATCCACCAAGATATCACATCCAGCAGGAAATCTCCATCCTCACCAATATCACTGAAAGTATATAAGCAACACAGCAGTTCCTGATCAATCCTACAAGAAGATGAGGAAAAAACCCTAGATGGGAAAAGACATATATAAATATAATGGTGAAGTATAAGCTAGAACTGTTTGCATCCATAACATTAAGGTAAACAGAGGCAAAGAGATGAAAAATAAGAACAGTTATGAGATACAAATAAGCGATTAAGATGTTTCAACCAATGGATTCTGATTATTCAGAAGGATAATGGCTTACGATTTTCCAGAACTGAAAAAAGACACAGGTATTCATAATGAAAGCCTGTCTTGAATAATGAGAATAAATCCATATAAATCCTATACTCAGATATAATGAAAATGCAAAACATCAAAGTAGTGAACCTAAGTTTACTAGAGAAGAAAAAAACAGCTTTATGTTTCCAAAAGAAATAGCTCAGAGGAAAGGGAGGACAAAAGAGAGCGAGCATTCCAAGTAGTGAATGTTCTAGAATGAATTCTCCTAACACTTCAAGAGAAGATTAATGCTATATATTACAGTGTACATTGCTGCAAAACATAGAAAGCAACAGATGGAACTTCTTCCATTCTGCATGGCACCTATCATGACCCAGCACTCCATTCAACACCTCCAACAATCTTCACAACATGGATGCACAAGGAAGAACACACACAAAGTTAGCTTGGAACAAACATTTGTCATTAATAAAAGAATGAATAAACTAAGGCAGACTCATGCAACAGCACTTAAACTGAAGAAACAAAGGACAATTTTTTAATTTAATTTAAATTAATAATTTAATTTTGATATGCAAAAAAAGTTGAGAAAAAATATGTATGTATATGTGTGTGTGTATATATATATATATTACATATATATATATATAGTACAAGCAGTCCCCAAATTACAAATTAGATAGGTTCCATAGGTTTGTTCTTAAGTTGAATTTGTATGTAAGTTGGAACAGGTACATCTACCTATTACCTGTAATAGCCTCTGTTTATAAGTGTGAGTTATACATCAGTAGGATGTTTATAACTTGAGGATTTACTGTAATAGTCTCTGCCCATAAGTATGAGTTGTATATAAGTCAGATGTTTATAACCAAGGACTGCCTACATGTTCCTGATACAGAAATGAAAAACACTCAAAACAATATATTGTTTATGTTTCTTATGGATATAAACATACATATTTAAAAGCATTAAAAACATTCCTGACTATTTACACATATCTGGGAGTTAGTTCTTTATAAAGTTAAACACACTTAAAAGGGTGGCCATAAAGTAGCCATTCTGTATTATATGACTCTGAACTCTCCCTACTAGATAGTTACTCAAGAAATATGTAAACATATGTTCACATAGGAACTTGTAAAAATGCTTACAGCGATTTTTGCATAATCACCAAAAGTGGAAAAAAAATACCCAAATGTTTAAGTGGCAAACAAGCCATGGTATATCCATACAATGGAATAGTACTCAACAACAAAAAAATACCCTGCAGATAAATACAGCAAGAATGAATCTCAAACGCATTATTTCAGGTGAAAGAAGCTAGACTCAAAAAGCGACATAGAGCGAGGCACAGTGGCTCACTTCTGTAATTCTAGCACTATGTGAGGCAGAAGTGGGAAAGCTCTGTGGTGGTTTCATTTATTCCCACCCTACCTAGATCCCAATCTCCATCCCCCAAGGCCAGTTGTTTTAAAGACAGCAGTTCACATTCCTGTTCCCAAGAAATGTGTTATTCTGTTTTAATCTGTCCGTTTATACCCCTAAAGGACAGACCCTAGAGACTTGCCTTTGTTTTGCCTAAGTCAGAACTCTCTGAGGTATAATATTCCTTGAGAACATTGGAAGGTAAATGGATATGCCCCTAGATAACAGGGGAAAAAATAACAGTAGGGAGAGTAATTAACATGCCCAAAGCCTAGGAGGAAAAGCAGGCAAGTAAGATGTTTGGGGGATCCTTGAGGCAGAGAGTGGTCTAGACAGCCCAGCATGTGCCAAGGGCAGGATTCATATTCAGAATATGAATTCCGTAATTCTAGCACTATGTGAGGAGTGCCTAGGAGTCCATACGCTGATCTTTCAGATTACATATATAGGCTAAGCCAAAGTCATTAATATAAGCAGTCCAAGCATCCATCTGCAAAGATCTGGAAAGTTTTTCTTTTTTTTCTATTACTTTTTCTTTTCTTTCTCTCACTCTTTTTTGACTCCACTAATTTAAGGAAATCTCTGTCAAACCACTAGCTGCGCACTACATTAAAGAAACAGAGACATTAGGGACAACACGAGACAAAATGGGTTCAAAAAGTTACCATATAAACAGGTAACCACAGTCCCATAAGCAATAACAATAAATCCTAGGGAGGGAAAGAGTCTGATTTCCAGATATAAAAATCAAATGTCCACTTTTCAAATTAATGGCATGAAAAGAAACAGGAAAGAACAGCTCAGGCACAAGAAAAAAAGAAATTAACAGAAACTGTCTCTGAGAAAGCAGACACTGGACTTAGACAAAGACTTTAAGTCAACTGTCCTAAATATTCTTAAAAAGCTAAAGGAGGCTGAGTGTGGTGGTTCACACCTGTAATCCTACCCATGGGAGGCTAAGGCAGTAGAATTGCTTGAGCTCAGGAGTTCAAGACCAGCCTGAGCAAGAGCAAGACCCCATCTCTACTAAAGATAGAAAAATTAGCCAGGCATTGTGGGCACTTATAGTCCCAGCTACTCAGGAGGCTGAGGCAAGAGGACTGTGAACCCTAGAGTCTGACGTTGCTGCAAGCTAGACTGATGCCACAGCATTCTAGCCTGGGCAACAGAGTAAGACTCTGTCCCAAAAAAACCAATACTACAGGAAGCCATGGACAAAGAACTAAGGAGAAGCAAGAGAACAATGTTGAATATTAATAAGAAAAATTATTAAAAGGAATCAAATAAAAATTCTGGAGTTGAAAAGCACCGTAACTTTAATTATCTATTTTTTGAGACAGTGTCTCACTCTGTGCCCTGGGTAGAGTGCCATGGTGTCATTATAGCTCATAGCAACTTCAAACTCTTGGCTCAAGAAATCCTCTTATCTCAGCCTTCCAAATACCTGGGACTACGGGCACCTACCACAATGCTCAGCTACTTTTTCTTCCTTTTGGAGAAAGAGTCTTACTGTCATCCTGGGTAGAGTGTTGTGGTATCATAGTTCACAGCAACCTCAAACTCTTGAGCCTGAGCAATCCTCTTGCCTTAGTCTCCTGCACAGCTGGGACTGCATGTAAGTAGCTGAGACTACAGGTGTTTGCCACCATGCCTGACTAGTTTTTCTATTTTTAGTAGAGACAGAATCTTGTTCTTGCACAGGCTAGTCTTCAACTTCTAAGCTCAAGCAATCCACCCTCCTTCGCCTCCCAGAGTGCTAGGATACAGGCATGAGCCACTGCATCGAGCCTTTTTCATTTTTTTTAATTAAAAAATTCACTAGAGAATTTCAACAACAGGCAGAACAATCAGTGAATTTAAAGATAGTTCAATTGAGATTATTCAGCATCAAGAGCAAAAAGAAAAAATAATGGGGGAAAAAAACAGAACCTGAGAAACCTGTGAGATATAATCAAGCAAATCAATATATGCATTATAAGAATCTTAGGCAGAGAGGAGAAAGGGGCAAAAAGACTATTTGAATACATAATAGCAGAAAACTCAAGAAATTTGATGGAAGACATGAATCTACACACCCAAGAAGCTCAATGAACTCCATAGGATAAACTCAAAGAAATCCACACCAAATATATTAAACTAATGAAAGACAAAAACATTGGCTTGGTGCCCACAGCTCAGTGGTTAGGGCACTGGCCACATATACCAAGGCTGGCAGGTTTGAATCTGACCCGGGCCTGCTAAACAATGACTACTACAACAACAAAATAGCTGTGCACCTGTAATCCCAGCTACTTGGGAAGTTGAGGCAAGAGAATCACGTAAGCCCAAAGTTTGAGGTTTCTGTGAGCTGTGTTGCCACGGCACTCTACCGAGGGCAACATAGTAATGAGACTCTGTCTCAAAAACAAATAAACAAAAAAAAAAAGTAAAGACTCTTGAAAGTTTCAGGAGAGATTACAGACAAAGGATCCTTATACATTAATATCCAATGTTTCATCAGAACCTATGGAGACCAGAAAGCAGTAGGATTACATATTTAAAAGTGCTGAAAGAAAAAAAGAAACCTTGTCAATTAAGAATTCTATGCAGCAAAATTATTCTTCAAGGATGAAGGAGAAATTAAGATATTCTCAGATAAACAAAAACAGAGATAATTTGTTACAAACAGACATGCTCAATATAAAATGCTAAAGGGAATCCTTCAAGCTGAAAGAAAAGGATACTATCCAATAACTCAAAACCATACAAAGGAAAAAATAAAGAACACGTAAAAGTAATTTGGTCAGGGGTAGTGGCTCATGCCTGTACTCCCAGCACTTTGGGAGGTCAAATTAAGAGGACTACTTGAGCCCAGGAGTTTGAGACTAGCCTGGGCAATATAGTGAGACCCCATCTCTACAAAAAATTAGCCAGTGTGGTGGCACATGCCTAGCCCCAGCTACCTAACAGGCTGAGGCAGGAGGAACATTTGAGTGCAAGAGATAAAGGCATCAGTGAGCTATGATCATACCACCATACTCCAGCCTGGGCAACAGAGCAAGACCCTATCTTTTAGGAGGAAAAAAAAAAACATACCCATAAAACCACAGATTTGGGAAAAAAGAAAAAAGACCCCAAAAAAGAAGGCTGGGTGCAGTGGCTCACGTCTATAATCCTAGCCCTCTGGGAGGCCGAGGTGGGTGGACTGCTTGAGCTCACAAGTTTGAGATCTGCCTGAGTAAGAGCGAGACCCCATCTCTAAAAATAGCTGGGTGTTGTGGTGGGTGCCTGTAGTCCTAACTACTTGAGAGGATGAGGCAAGAGGATTGCTTGAGCCCAAGAGTTTGAGGTTGCTATGAGCTGTGATGCCATGGTACTCTACCAAGGGTGACAAAGTGAGACTCTGTCTCGAGAAAAAAAAAAGACCCAGAAAAGGTAGCAAATAAAAGTATCAATTTAATTCTGAATTGTACCTGTTTGTGGCAGCATCCTGAACGTTGGCGTTTTTATGACTTAAACTATCTTCTCTTGTAACCTAGAGAAATGAAATGAAATCATAGAACATTAAATTTTTGTCGAGGATACTAAGGTAATAAGAAATTTACATTTCTTTCTGGTAAAAATAAAAGTATCAGTTTGCTTTAGTTCAAATGAGAGGCAAATATACCTTATGTATGGAAATATGAGTAGCATACCTAGTATAATCCTATCTCATACTTAAATTAATAATCTGAGACTCAATTTCAGTATGTGTATATTTGGTAAACAAATTCACACGTTCTTACTAGACTGCTATCAATAATGCAGTCAACTAGACTGCTATCAACCATTTTTTAAAATGTATGGTTTCATGAATTTTTAAAGCCATGCACAGGTAGATAACCAACATACGTAACATTTTCACCACCCTCCCAGTACTTCCTTGAGGTTCCCCACATAATCCCATTAGAAACCCTTCTTCAAGGTGAATAATGATCTATACTTAATACAGTTTTATACAATTAGAGTCAAACCTATCTTTTAAGTCTGCCTCTTTAGAGGAGCTGGATGTTTCTGAGATTCACCTATGTTATTGTAAATATCACTAATTCATTCCTTTTCATTTGTTGAGTAGCATTCCACTAAATGGATATACAACAATATATGTTTACTTATTTACCTGTTGATGGACATTTGGGTTATTTTCAGTTTTTCGCTATTACAAATAAAGCTGCTAGAACATTCCTGTACTAATACCTGAATGAACCTAAGTGTTTGATTTCTCCTGGGCAAATACCTAAGAGTATAATTGCTGGGTCAGATAATAAGTATATATTTAATGCACTGCCAAATTGTTTT